AGTGCCGACGCAGAGTGAGCGATCTAATTCTTTAGCTGTAAACTATGTCACAGGGTTCAAAATGGCCGCGCCCTATGTTGGGCGTGTCGGACCTCTCTCTTGCCTCGTATAGTAATCAAAGTATGTGGGTTGAATACTACCTCCATGGTTTATTTAAATATCTGCAACAACTTCAGAACATAAAATAATAAAAATCAGAAACTACTTGCAAAGATTCATAGGCCGTTCGTAATTTCTTATCGTGATTTTGACCATGGTAATTTTGTACACCGACTATCACGGCATAAGAAAAGCTTGCATTCAAAATTTTAATCAGTTTTAAGTGATTGTAATTGATTACTTATGTTAATTTAAAGTTTCATGTATTTTCTTTAGTTTTTTTTGCGTTGTAAACATAAATAAATTATCATGCCAGTTTTTTTTTAATTTTTCATTTTATTTAAGTTATATTATGCTATGCATGTATTTATTGTACAATTTTTTTGTCGAAATACTATTTTTCTACTCGTACGATCTCTCAAAAAAAATATTTGACAACACTGGTCTCTCTACAAACGACGTAGATCTGTAGTTAACATCTGAGACGCTAGATGACGCCATCGTTGCTGGGGTCGTTGCGTTTCCAATCTTTATGTCCCTAATCTCTGGTTTAGGAGTTTAGAAATAATATAAACATAACCTTATATCAAATAATAATCTTATTTTTATGTTTGCGGTTGAAATAAATTACTTTATGTGGATTATAAAATTTGCAGTAGAATATGATTTTAACTATAATGAAGGAAAACATTTATAATTTTGCCGAAAACATATTACCCAATATGAATATGATCAATTTGTATTTAATTTTTGTTTGAAACCAGCAACTTTTGATATTCTCTTTCATAGAGAAATATCTTCAATAAGCATATTTTATTGTTTTCTGATATTATACCATTTTCTTGCATAACAGCAGCATAAATATTCCAATTTGCAAAGCAAAATATAATTAAACCTGCACATTAACAACATGGCTGAAAAGAAAAGATAATATCGACAAATCGCAAAACAACGAACGGGTATTGCCTGAACTCTGTCATTTTGTCACCTATCACCTATAAGTAGGAGATTTGTTTATTTACATTGTGTAAGTTATGGGCTGGCTTTTGTATATGTGATGTTTAACTGTTTTTAGATATATTAAATCATTATAATTAATTTAACAAGATTAAAACATTTTATATAAACAACTTACCTTCAAATGAACAAAAATCTTCATCTACGAAATGAAGGATTACACTCGCTTTGGGGTTGTTTTAGATTTTTAGAACAAAAATCCACCGTTTTTGCTGTCGACCCTTTCAAAATTGCCCATTTTATTTTTAGTAAGTACTTTAAGGTACCCTTATTTGGAAAATGATGAAATATACATAATTAACGTCTTCGTTTAGCCATATAGATACAATTTGGTGAAGGCTTTTTCGTAAGTTTTATTTTTAACTATTACAGTTATCACACATTAAAAGATATAAACAAATTTAAGGCTCACAAACAAGAAAATTTCGAATTGATAAACAGTACTATCGGTGACAACAGACAACAAGACCAACTTTGCCAACATGAATTGATTTTAAAACAAAATTGATAAATGAACGGAAATTAAAAAAAAAATCAATATAATTAAATTGGTTTTACAAAAATCCTTAAATAAATAAATAAATGTGGTTGGCACTAAGTTTGCAGCGCAAAAATGCGTCTGTGTCTGGCCGCTCAACTAACTCGATATGGCGGTAAATTCAAATATAATTTTAAGGCGAAATTTAAATTTCCCGCCAAAATTGTAAATTTTCAGCCACGGAATGGCGGGAATCATTTAGTTATAAAGAGATGTTTGTGATAATACAGTGACAGCTATCGAATGTTGTACAACTACAAAGAGTTAGCATTAGTGGGAGAAGGAATAGAATACTATGAACGTAGCGAGCCGGCTACGTGGGGATGCATCGCACCGTGGGGATGCATCGCACCGTGTGCCTGTTCATATTACACAGCACACAAGGCAACATTCATATTATTCGTTTCCTGATCACACTAATGCGCTAACTCTTTAGTTTTCTCTTCGATGCTAGCCAAGTGTATTGGAAAGTGTTCATTAGCCGATACTGTATATAAATGCTAAAATCAATAAGTGAAATAATTTTTTTTTAGTTTAAATGGACACCTACTTCGAAAAAGGAGAAAAACAGTAAATTATTATACTTGAATTTTAAAGGCTGTTGCCACTAGAAAACTATTATCTAGGGCTTGGATGACAGCCATAAGACTCCCTCCTTGAATCATGTCCATAGGAAATCATAAGATCTTAGTTAAATTATAATATTAAGAGGGTAGGTATTAACTGAAAAAATATGAAAAATTATTACAAACTTACCTCAAAATAGGCACCTACATTAAAAGAAGGGAAAACGGAAACATAAAATTATTATACTTGAATTTTAAAGGCTTTTCCCACTAGAAAAGTATTATCTAGGGCGGAGACCCTTGGATGACAGCCATAGCAATCCCTCCTTGATTTCTCTTTTTCTAGTTTGTTGTACGTTTTGTTTCCCATATTAAATAAGTAAGAACTTAATACAACAACACAAATCACAATAAATATCGCTGATATAAAATTAATATTAATAAACGGTATAAATTTCGTAAAAGAAAAAATCAAAAAATTATCACTTGTCAATACTGACACTTCATGCTTCACTTGTCAAAAACTTCCTCTTCAACCAATGAACGTGCCGATGTTGGACGTGTCAAAATTCAAAACGATACTAGCGCCATGAGACCTGTGTCTGGCCGCAGCGTAACTCAAAGCCATTTCTTGAATCCCAGTTACATTACTATATGAGAACAGCAAGATGACTGCAGCTACCATTGTTTACTGTACGTTGACGCATCTCTATTTTACTCTACTTTACTGCATTGTGCAGTCGACAGCAACTGCACTTTGCGGTCTGTCGTCTACTTCTGCCCTTACTGATCAAGAAAGAAAAGCTTGTTTATGTTAAAATGGTTCATGTTTAGAAATAGCTATAACGACATCAGAACATTATTAATATGATATAAAAAGGTTTCAGCACCAAAATTATTATCTCTTTATAATTGAAATAACTGGATGCCTCATTAATATGGAAAATACTAATACGTTGGTTCAGGACAGGACAGGATAGGTCTCTTGGACTGGGCGCCGAGATGAGTAGCAAGATGACTGCAGCTGCCATTGTTGACTGTACATTGACGCGTCTCTATTTTACTCTACTTTACTGCATTGTGCAGTCGACAGCAACTGCACTTTGCGGTCTGTCGTCTACTTCTGCCCTTACTTATCAAGAAAGAAATTCTTGTTTATGTTAAAATGGTTCATGTTTAGAAACAGCTATAACGACATCAGAACATTATTAATATGATATAAAAAGGTTTAAACACCACAATTATTATTTCTTTATATTTGAAATATTTGTATGCCTCATTAATATGTAAAATACTAGTAAACATGGTACCAAAAGCAGTCATTGGGTGCTATGATTGAACGTTTACGTTATCCGTAACGTACATGTTAGGCCGAGTTTTAACAGTAAAGAGACAAATTCGTCTGATGTAAAGTCTTTCATAACACATTACTGTTATTTTCCGCCTGTTATGTTCTAATTTAACAGGTTTCCATCATACGAACTTGCCTCGTTACTTTTAAAATTCGGCCTTACATGTACGTTACGGATAACGTAAACGTTCAATCATAGGACCCAATAGCAGTCAGGGGCTGGTAACCAATGTTGCCAGGTCAAGAACAACATAAGCTGTAGACTTGTCTTAAAAAAGCGGTACATTTAAAAATAAAACGGTAGATATATTTAATGTTCAAAAATTGCTGTTTTTTCGAATAACTAAGTAGTTTGCCAGTTAGGAAATTAAGTACGTAGTTAGGTAGAATTAAAAAAGAAAAAATAATTTATAATTATTTATGGAAGCAAAAATTAAAATAAAAATTATGTTTAGGTTTTATTATTGTAATAACTAATTTATATAAAATAAAAACCAAAATGCGTTATATCCTGTTGTACTTATGTTTTACCTGACAAATGAAATATGGTACATAACAAACATTGCAATAAATAAAACTGAAAAAAGCCCAAATTTTCTAAACTCATTCTTAAAATTATCAGGTATTTTGTACATATTATTATTATTATTATTATTATTAAATAACAACAACTGTTGATCAATTCGCAAATTAAAACATTCGTTGCTACCTATATTATTTTGAATGCATTCATTATACCAACAATACTATAAGTTTCAATGTTTCATTTTCAATAAATTAATTTGTGAAAATTGTATTGCTGTAGAGGAATGAGGTAAATAACGAAGTAAAATAAGAGTCAATAAAATAAATCAAACAACCAGAAATCAGAAATATTGTGAATAATTTTAAAGTTGTGCCGCGTCTTGGTTACAATAATCACCTTTTCACCGACGCTTCCTAGGAAATTCACCGACCAAAGTCAAAATGTCAAAACGTGTGTTAATATTTCTGTTATAACAATAATTGTAATAATAAGTGTTTCAGCGGTAAATATTGATAGCTTTGCGGTAGAGCGGTAGTCCACACCATAAAAACGGTAGATCTACCGCAAAAACGGTAGACCTGGCAACACTGCTGGTAACTGACGCCAACGTGAAACGCGACAGAAAGAACGATTCATGCTGCTTTGCCAAATTTATTAGTATTACGTAGTTCTGCTTATGTAAAATATTAAACTAGTAAAATGGATACACAATCGATAATTTTATATTATTTTTTTATTATGGATGTACTTACCATTTTGAAGGGTTAGATGCAAATATTAAAATTATATTTTCGGTGGACAATTCTGGTTAAAGATTGATAGGTAAATGAGACCCAAAAAAGAAATACAGTATTATTAAATAAATTATAATATAAAATAAATTATAAAGCGACAATTATATCAAGTAGTTATTGGTATAAAGCTAAGTTTCTTTATTACTGGGAACTGAAAATTTTAAATTATTGTCAACTCAGCTACCCGTTCTTGTATTTTATGAAATTCAATAAAGGGTTTATTTCCATCTGCTTCCTCCAATGTAATTTCAAAACAAAATGTATAATTTCTCGAGCTTGTGCATTCAAAATGCATTCTTTTACTGTAACGTCTCAAAATGCACACTTTCGACTATAATGTATTAAGATCCATGTGATCACATCGAAAAACCGGAATGAAATGAGCTTCGCTCTGTCGTACTGTACATGCCTACACACCCACACTTTACAATCAAATTAAGTGTCTGTTCAAAACGTCTGCATTTGACATGATATTTCTTACTAGCTATGTCACATTCAGGCAACCAACCAGCGATCATCAATCACTATGTTTCTAACCTTGCTGCTAAAGTTACTAATCAAAATCTTTTCTGTCTTCCGAGTTTTACACAATCGACTCTAACAAATGTAGATTTTAAAAAGTAACCGTTAATGTCTCAGTATATTCTAATCTAGTCTTTCAAATATCAATATATCGTTCATTATTAATTAGAACAACGGTTTATTTTACATCTGAGATTCAAAATCTTGTGTCATCTGGCATTCGTTCGAAATATGCAACGTCTTGTTCTTCTACCTTATATTCATGTATCCATCGACTACCCTTCCTTAAGGTGTGGTCTATTCCGTCCCTCCAAACTCCAGCAGGAAGATAAATCTGCAAAAGAAATTATAATTATCTTCTATCATTAGATTATTTTACCACCCTTGTAACTCAAAAAAGGCAAAACAGTTTTTCTTTATTATCAAATTTGTTTCTTTTATCATGTGCCAACATTCAACATTGTTTATATTCTAAACTGTAACGTCCAAACGATCATCATCAAATAAACTTTTCCTTTTGAAGTTATGTGTATAAGTATCTTATAGAGATACGAGTTCACCAAGAAGAATTCTCATCATGTTAACTAAACATAATAAAAATAATCTTACCTCTCTTTTTCTAGAACCTTTATGTAAGATAGGTGCTACAATTATATCATCGCCAATGGAAAATTCATCAACAGCCAGATGACAAGCAGGATCTTCAGCACCTAGCATCCATAATGGTCTTATTATTGGTAAACCCAAATTCAAAGAAACCCTGGCGAATCTTTGCAATTTTGGAGTTATCTAGAATGTAAAAAATTGGACTACGTTTATGAAATCGACACATAATTCAAGGGAGGCTCCAGGCCGCATTTTCCAGGGGAGGGTGGTGGGGGGGGGATGGCATATTTTTTTAATAAAAGGCTAATGATTATACAAAATTTAGTCTCTGGGTTGCCTCGCCCCTGGAGCCACCTTTGACATAATTAAGGGGATTTGCCGAGGATCAAATAACTTTTAAATTTTATCCATCTGGAGCATATATGAGGCTTACTAAAAAAATCTGGAAATTAGTCTTAGTGGTTTTAAACTTTTAAAATTCGTAAACGTTGATTTTTTATCGTATAATTCAGTTGGTAAGTTGACAGTTTGTACCCAAGTGAATTAGTTTTGTTTTAGAAGCATAAAATGGTTTGTTCTATCCCCTGAAAATGTTCGTGCATTGATTTTGTACAATTTCAAATGTGACCTAATGCTAAAACAATGCATCGATCGCAGCGGAAAAACGGTTATATCAAATGATGCAAATCCAATTCTCATGAAATTCAAACGTCAATATCGGTACTGGTGACAAAAGATGGTTCTATTCGTACCTAAAGTTTTACAAGCAATGAATGGTACAGATAAACAATCGAAAGTTTGATACCGTGACACGTGTTCTTGATTTACTTGCGTAAAAGTGGAAGTCGTGGGTGGCGTCAGGTTGTTATCTAAAACAAGGGTTGCCCGGGCGCCAGTTTTAATAACACAGTTTGCTCTGCGGCCCTCAAGTATATCTAGAGTGCACTCAAAGTAGTCCCAGTGTAGAAAATAATTCCAGACGATCCCTTATTTACTAAAATAAAAAATATCGCGACGAATTGAGAACCTCCTCCTTTTTTTGAAGTCGGTTAATAACATCCATCTCACCAAACCTACATGGTAATCACCTTGCACCTTTACGCTAAAGGTGATTCTGGACGAGTTAGATAAAAAGGGGTATAGTTAAAAGAAATTTATATAAAATAATATATTTCAAACCAATGATAACCACGGTGAGGCAATATTAAACCCAAACAAAAATGGTCTTTATTTATGACAAATTACTCACAAAAATAATAGTAAAACTAAGATAATAAATATAAAGCGGTAAAACGGATACTCTTAATCGAAAATATTAACTCAATTAGGAGTATAACTGAATCTTCGGAATATTTATGTACAGATATAAACTTGCAGAGGATAAATAAATAAAATATTCAAATCCACAAGTTAAAATAATTTTTAGAATACACACTGTATTTCAATGCCCTTGCCCAAAAATAAAATAAATACGTTCCGACGATAATCTAATACTAACTAATGATAGGCTCAACGTGTCAGAATTATTCACAGGTGGGAGCTATCGTTATTGTCTCAAAATATTGTAATGTGAGCCATTTCGTCATTCAGTCATGCTCTAATCCTCCAAGTCCCTCTCCGTCTTATTTGGCTTTTGAAGCTCAACTTGTCCAACTATTATACATAATTGAACCCCTTAAGACCAAACATATGTGACGACTCTGGCGAAGGTGCTTTCGAATACTATTCGAGAAAGCACGTGATGTTTCTAATTTTGGCGAGAACGTTCTGGAGCCCACCAGAAATTTAAAATTTGTATATAAATATTGGTGGAGGAACACAGGCAGTCAGTTGAAGATAGGCAGTGGTGAATATAAATAGTAGACAGTTTAAAGACATTCGAAATATACAGGGTGGCTCACGCTCAACGGGACGGAGCTTTATGGGAAAACGACCAAAGATATAAAAAATTCGTTTGGGAGGAATACGTAGGTTACAGACGGCTACAATTTAAAATTTGTTAGATATATACAGGATGTCCCACATAAGAGAAAATATACAAAGTTATATTATTTTTAATGGAACACCCTGTTTTTTATTTTAGAATTAAAAACTACATCAAAAATAATGTCAGTTAACTAAAGGTTCTCTATTACTATTATTATTAGTTTTCGATTTATTTAAATTTTTAAGGAAAAAAAGTCTCCCAGAAATTAATTGTTTACTCTTGTTTGAATAATTTTTAATGAACTAATTTTTTTTTTTCTTATGTGGGACATCCTGTATACATCTAACAAATTTTAAATTGTAGCCGTCTGTAACCTACGTATTCCTCCCAAACGAATTTTTTATATCTTTGGTCGTTTTCCCATAAAGCTCCGTCCCGTTGAGCGTGAGCCACCCTGTATATAAATTAGAATAGTATTGTTTAAAATAAATAAGTGTTCAAATAAATTATTAATAAATAAACTGTTGTTTAAAATAAACAAACATCACATTGGTGTCAGAAGTGGGATAGTGTAAATAAATAGTGGACAATCATGGCTAAAAAACTGTGTGATTTAAAAGTGGCTGAATTGCGTCGAGAATTAGAAGATCGTGATCTGGAAACGACAGGAAAGAAAGCAGAGCGGCTTAAAGAAGCACTGGAAAGTGAAGGTTTGGATCAGGAAACGTATCTGTTTTCTGATGATGCGTCTTCTATAATTTCTTTGGAAAGTAAAATGTCTTCCATGAAAACCGATATTTCCTCTAACATGTCTTCTTTAAAAACCGAAATTTCATCCGATTTTAAAACTAAAATGTCTTCCATAGAAAATAAAATTTCTTCTGATGTTTCTTCTATAAAAAGTGATATTTCCTGCTTAGAAACTAAAGTTTCTTCCGATATATCTTCCTTGGATGATAAAGTTTCTTCTTTAGAAAATAAAGTTTGGTCTGATATTACTTCCTTAGAAGAAAAGGTGTCTATCTGTCTTCTATAGAAATTAAAGTCTCCTCTGATATATCTTCTATAAGAAATGAAATTTCTTCCGTTGAGAATAAAATAATGTCTTCCGTTGAGGAGAAAATAAAAGAAATGGAAAAGAAGAAAGAAGAACTGGAACATACTGAACCGAGCAATAACAAGATCTGCTCTCGCTTCCGAAAGACTACTCGCTGGTCCATAGTACTTCCGCCAGCATAAACGACGCGCGAAAACAGGTATATGTGTTCCGTAAAAAGTTTGGTCGACTGGTAGAACTTCAATGTCAGTTACCAGCCCCTGGAAAAGCCTTGAAACTTCAAGACGGGTCGCGTTATCTTTTCTATTTAATAACGAAGAACACCTTCCGAGATCGATCCACTTACCATGATGTATGGGAAGAATTACTTAGTTTAAGGGAACACGTACTGGAGTCTAATGTACAGAAACTAGCCATGCCGAAGATAGAAGGAAATCAGCTGGATTGGAGGATCATTAAGAACATGGTGGAAGTAATCTTTCAAGATACCGGAGTACTGGTCTGCAGCCATTCGCCCAGTATCCAGGTTTAAACAAAGACAGTTCCTTGTTACTTCCATGCAACTGGAAATTGTAAAAGAGGATTCGGTTGTAGATACAACCATTCCGTTTTAGTTTCGTAAGAGTTCCAGGAGGAACTATCTCTTAAGGAGGGGGTAATGTAATGTGAGCCATTTCGTCATTCAGTCATGCTCGAACCCTCCAAGTCCCTCTCCGTCTTATTTGGCTTTTGAAGCTCAACTTGTCCAATTATCATACATAATTGAACCTCTTAAGACCAAACATATGTGACCACTATGGCGAAGGTGCTTTCGATTACTATTCGATAAAGTACGTGATGTTCAAAATTTTGACGAGAACGTTCTGGAGCCCACCAGAAATTTAAAATTTGTATATAAATATTGGTGGAGGAACACAGGCAGTCAGTTAAAGATAGACAGTGGTGAATATAAATAGTAAACAGTTTAAAGACATTCGAAATATATATAAATTAGAATAGTATTGTTTAAAATAAATAAGTGTTTAAATAAATTATTAATAAACTGTTGTTTAAAATAAACAAACATCACAATATATTTATTTCGACAGACATACCCAACGAGAAGCAATAAATCTCTCGCGATAAATGAAAAAAATAATAAAAAAAAGGTGCTGGGCACAAGTCATTATACCTAGCCCAAGGGAATTTGGTCGGATATTCTGAAAAATAATTTCGGTTGAAGGAAGGTTTCCCAAAGCATACGGTTTACTACAGTCGTAGCAGTGACGTTTTCTCGTGGTCGACGGTTCTTAGTGAATTAAAAATTTCACTGATTGCCGAAGTAGTCAAAAGTTTAATGACCTAGGGTAACCTTGGATGTAGAGAAATTAAGTTGGCGAAATAAGTCTATGAGATTTGCTGGACTTGCTTCTCTTACGTAATTTCAGAACTCACAAAATGGTATACGTTAAATAGTTGAGAATTCAATTATCATTGCGGCTTTAAAAGAAGTTCTGTCATCGAAGCCAGCCTGCAATATTTGCTGGAGTGACTTCTCTAAAGGAACATTTGAAAACCTAATTTTATTGCTCTATTATTGGGTTATAGCCGGCTCTACTTTAAACACCGATTATGGATAGAGGTCGAAAATCGATTGTTTTAAATTAGGTGACCTTGAGCTTTGAATTTAATGTATATTTCATGGGCACAGCCATACAGGTCCGGTTACCATTTACTGTGTTTGCTATTTTCATGTTTTTAGTTTGCAGAACTCATATCTTGGATATTTTATCTTAAATGGTGACAAATTGTTTACAAAAAATTATACTTTATAGTCTTACGCTTAGATAATGTATTAAAGTAAAACTTTCTTGACATTTACAGATATAAAATAAGCGAATTACAAAGCTAGTAGTACGAAAACATAACTAATAAAATGATCTTACCTTATCTTGTCTAGTCAAAGCCAATCCCTTAGCCAAACCAGAAATGTTCCTTTGATCATAATTACTGGGCAAATGTCGATATCTAACAACTGGTAAAAACGCCGATAATTGTAACCATCTGATATACAATTCCGGATCAAGTAAGACATCATCAGTTTCGTTCATCAATGACATAGTCTCAGGACCAGGATAGTCACCGCCAACTGCACCCGGTATCAAAAAAGGATACCCCAATATTCCGTAGGTCAGAATTGTGGGAATAATTTTTTGCAACCCTTGCCAGGAGAATTCGAATTCCGGTAATACCACAAAACTCGGCGATTTTGGTCTTACAATCGCACTGTTCACTCCAAAGAGAGGAACTTCACCTTGCAGAATATTCACGAACATTGTCTTGTACTCATCAGGGTTTAATAAAGCTTTTTCGCATTGATAGTAATGCGGCATATTGTAAGCGACGCCCAAATCTAAGTAAAAAGCATCAATTTTATAAGTATTTTTGACTTTTTTCAGTTTCTCTAATAACCAAGACACCGTACGGTTGTTGGTGATATCGAGCACGCCAGCACTTTGCACAGTTTTATATTTCGTCAAAGCTGGGATTCTTCTATCGTTGAATCGTTCCGAGATAAGTAATTTTTTTCTAACCGCCTCAGCAAAATTGAAACTTTCTGTCGAAATAAACGGTTGAATAGTGAATACCACTCTGAATCCTCTCCTGGTGAGTTTTTCCATTACCGTTTCGAAAGAAGGAAATCTGTCTGGGTCCAATTCGAAATTTCCGACTTGGTCTTGCCAAAATTCGTTGATTAAAACGTGGCCTTGTTTTAAAATTGCCACTGAGTTGGTTATGTTGGTTGTGTACTGATCAATTGCGTCTGAAAATAAGTAAGTAAGGAGGAAATCATTTATTACATTTCAAGTAAGAGAGTTATTAGAATCAAAGTTTTTTTGATTAAGCAGTATTTAGGAACGATGTTATTTAAATAATGTACTACAATGCAAAAACAGCTCTGTAAATTTACAGAATACAACGTTGGCAATTTTGTAACCAATTATGTAATTTTTAAAATTACAATATTTAATATGTAATCACTGATAACAAAATCCCTTCAGCGGATGTGGAAAGGGCCAATATACCATGGGAATTTATCCAAAACTATAAAATTTCCCAAAAAATCTAAATACCCATACTTCTACAATTATTAACGGAGTAAAATCGAAAATCGCCTTTAATAGGATAACTCGATGATTATAGAAGAATATATAGATTTTACTCTCGAGACAAAACTAGAAGTATTCTCCTTTCTTCCCCCTGTCAAAAAAGCCACCTAACCAACAAATCGTTGTCTCTTCTCCCGTTTGACAATGACAAGCCCAGTGGGTTCAGAAATTTCTTAAAAAACAATCATTAGCAATATGTCTCACGGATAATTTACAAAAGATTCGAAGAAAGTGACACTAAAACTAAATTTGGCAATTACTCCTGACAGGTACAAAACCGATTGCGTATAATCACATCACAAATCTACAATTTAAAAACGAACGCACCTCGTACAGCAAATCTCACGAAACTACTATTAAAACAAACGGACCAACGTACAGCGAATCGCGTTTTTAGATAAGAACGCGAGTCTTCAAATCGCCCACTGTGAAATTTCTATTATCCGATTCTCAGAACCAGAATCTGAATGACATCCAACACATGACATATGCTGCGTTTGAGAATCCACATCGGATGCATCTGAGATGTAAAAAATCTTTGATCACGTGATGCAGTATACGTAAATGTAATGGGACAGATGTGTCCGATGTGGATAAAAAAACGCTCGAGATGTAAAAAATGCATCCGATGTGGATTCTCAAACGCAGCAACTGTATTATCGTGTTTTGCCGTCAACTCGTTCTCAAGTTGTCAAACTTCCCAAAATAATACAAATAAGAAATGATTAATTTGTAAACAAATTCGATGAAAATGGCTCGTTAATAATTAATTCTCTAGAGGTAAGATTATAATACATATATAAGTAAACTCGCAAGGCAACATTTTCTTGTAGGTGAATTTATATAATTTTAACCAGCCACGGGTCAAAACTACAATTAGGAAGAATTATTGTACAATGTATTGTACTACAATTGTATTTAGGTACTACTAATAAAATCCCTATTGATAAGATTAATTCAATGATAAGAACGATATCCGCAAGTTATCAATACATATAGCTATTTTAAAGCAAAACAATAGCTTTAAAAGCTTATATGAGCACTAAATAACGGTTTACCTATTTTTCCGTTTTTTTAGCCAAAGTAAGTCGAATTTACTCTAGTAATTTGAGCGGCTAAAAGTGCACGTTACATCAGAGTCTCCCTTACGACGATATTTAAAAAACTTGGATTTAAATTTAAAGTAGTGAACAAAAGGGCAGCTGTAATGGAAAGCCGCAGGATTGTCAAATGGCGCATTGAATATTTGGAAAAAATACAACAATTTAGCGGGGAATCTCGACCAATTTACTATTTGGACGAGACATGGTATGAGACACATGACACAACAAGAAAAGGATGGACCGATGATTCTAACAGATGTCAATTAAAAGATGCACCTTCAAACAGGTGATCCCAAATGACAATTATTCATTGTGGTTCGAAAGATGGCTGGGTTGTACCTAGATGGATTTAAATTGTGTGGTAAGAAAATTGAAGAGTGTAATGATGATTACCACAAAAATATGCAGTCAGAAATATTTGAAACGTGATTCGAAAGAAACATTTTACCAAATTAAAAAAAAACGTGTGGTTTTCATGCACAATGCTTCGTACCACTCCAGACTACTGGAACAATTCCTAATACGTCTAGTACCAAGCAGGAGAACCAATAATTTTTGGTGAAGCATGAATTGTACTTTCAGGAATCTTATACAAAAAAAGAACTACTGGAAGTTCTTAATATTAAATCGTGGGAAAAGCAGTATAGCGTAGACAAAATTGCTGACCGTTTTAAGATTGCCATCCGCCGAAGAATGTTAGAGTGGCCTTTAGAAATAACAATTCTGGTGGGGCGTCGGAATCCAAACATCGATTCTTAGTCGAAGGACGTCTGGAATATTTTAGAGCAAGTCTGGAGCATCACTTTTGTATATAAATAGATTAAGTTATGCCGTTCGAGTTCAGTTTTAGTTAAGATATCGTTCTGTTCAAATAAATATTGTCAATGGAAATTAGTGTAGTATCAGGAAATTGGTGTTTAAACTAAATCTAAATTGTAAAATACAATGGCAGATGTAGACAACATTTAAGTGAAATAAAGCGATAATTTAGTGGATTTTTCTAATTTTGTAAAACATTATTGACTCGCCTGTATGCTTACCTTGAGTTAAATATTCTTTAGATTCGGGCATTTCCCAGACCGGTTCTTTCAAGAAATAATCAATTATATTTTCGTCTTCTTTTTTCAGTCCGTCCCAAAGCGTGTGCTCGCTAAGAAATTCGTGTAATTGAGTCATGTTGGAACTGGTGCAAATACTGTAATTGAGTTGCGCGGTGGTTGTAAATCTGTTAACGAACGCAAAGTTGTCATATTGTGCTCGGAGGCAGAACTCTTTCTTGGGGGCATCTTTTATCGAAATGTACAACGGCGTCTTATCGTTTATTATGATGGCAGCTCCTGCAATAAAGAAAATATTTCGTCAGAAGAAGATAGAAATTTAGTAAAATGTTACTGTTTATTTGGGGTTTGATTCTTAATGTAGATATACTGTCATGACTAAAAACGGATTAGGAACATTTCAAGAACTGTTCATTTACCTTTAGAATTGATGAAATACCGCTTTACGACGTTTCCCCATTCATGGGTTTCTATGTTTCCTGTAATAATGGGTTGGTAGAAGAAGCTTCCTTTCTCCAGAGGCCAAGCATTTTCGGCAGTTTGCCCGCCTCCGTACCAGTGGGCGTTTGACATATCGAAGCAATCCGTTGGAAATAAATTTTCCGAGAGGGAGATCCACTGTAAGTTGTAACATTTTACGTCCGTTCCCAAGTCAGCAAAATTCAAGTATAACCTAGCTCTAAAAACAATAATAATGCAAGAATTATACTAGTACTATAGTGTATAATCCACATATAAAAATATTTTGCAAACATTTATAAGCATTTTGTTTTCTAAAATGTACAAGAAATCAGCCCCAAACAGCTTGAGATTTAAAACCTCGTTATATTTTTAAAACGGTCCCATATCTCATGAGGCCTGTTATCAACCAGCCATAGAGACGCAAGCGCAGTGGAATTTATGAATGATATCTATAAGAAATCACAAACGAACGTGTACTATGTGTATTATGACCGGATCGCTGGGTGCTGCAAAATATATTTAAAACATCGATCACACGTCCCCAGCAGTAATGACCTAGTTACGGCTTGAGTGGGTGACCGAACTCGCATAGATCGGGACCCACTTAGACCGTAGAATGAATGGAAAGGAGTAGGGCAACCAAATTGTAACACAATAAGCTATCTCAGTTTCAGTGCCGCCATGCAAACCCCAAACAAGGAAAAGTAGGCTGGATCGCAAGCCTGATTGAAGAGAGTCAACCACTGGCTCCGAGCCTAAATGAAGGATGCCTGAAAGGGTGAAAAAAACGTGTGGTCTACGATTATTCAAGTTACCTGTGCATCCATTCCAAACACAAACTTCCATCATCTCTGACATCCATGGGAAGGCAAGGCAACACATTATCGTAGTTGATTGTGGTTCCTAAAGATAGCTGTACTATATCCACCCCGTCCTTATTGTATATCTTTAACGTCCGTTTCGCTTTATTCAGTTTCATTTTTCCAAAGTATACTTTCGCTAATACTTTTTGGTGATATAAAAAGTATGCCGTTACTATAAGAACGATAATTGCAATAAACAATAATCCGACGAATATTTTGGTTTTGTATTCCGGGGATTTCTTTTTTCTAAATGTCTGCGGAAGATTCTGAAAAGATAAAAATGTTTAGATATAAGTTCTTTATTTCGTATTGATTGAAACAAAAACAATTTGAAAACTCAATATGAAAATGCAGAACTCTTAATTCTATTCTAATACAATAAACTATTTGATTATTCCTGTCGTACGACTCGGCGCCACTTGTTATCATGTTGCGCTTTGCGCAGTAACAATTACAGTGACAGTAGACTTTTTAAGTGCGTTTTGTTCATTTTGTTTACCAACATTATGCGTCCTATGATTGAACGTTTATGTTATCCGTAACGTACATGTTAGGTCGAGTTTTAACAGTAACTATTAAATTAGAACATAACAGGCGCAAAATAATAGTAATGTGTTGGAAAAAGTTTTCAATTATACAAACTTGCCTCGTTACTGTTAAAACTCGGCCTAACATGTACGTTACGGATAACGTATACTTTTGAACTTTTTTAAAATATATATTCCTAAATTAATTAGATAACATGCATGAAGTATAATTATAATCATTTAGTTACCAATTACATACCTTTAAAGTATTTTTTATGATATGCAAACAATATTAAGAAAAAAACTAAACCCAGTAAAAAACGTTAATGACAAATTTGCGGATGTTCTTATCAAAAGTGTGATTAGAAGTGGAACCATTTTTGTGCCACACTAATATGACGTATTGTTGATATATTTGATATATTTTTTATTTCCTATAGTTCTACTACTTCTACTACCTAACTTTCATGTAATTTTTTTGTTATATAAAGGTGGGTTTATTAATTTTAGGTTAGGTTACCTAAATTAGTAAAATTATTAGTAAATATTTGTAAATAGCACGTGATGCTAACCTCTTGGGTAAATATTGGAAAGACGCTCTTTTCTTAATAATATATACATACAAGTTTTTTACAGAACTTACATAGTTGGCTTTAGGAAGAAAAGTACTTTTTAAATACACCACTATAAACACCATAAATTAACATTTAAAAAAATATATATAAGGGCTTATGAAGCTCATTAAGGGATCACTTATGTAAAATTATTCATTAGAATTATATCTCTCATGCTCTGTAATTAGAAGTGCACGACGTTGTCAAGTGTCCAATTAAAATCGACGACATAACATTTCCAAACACTTTAAAAAGCACTACTTCTATTATTTATTTCCAGTCACATCCGATGAATTATTGTAGTATATAATAATTAAATATTAATATTACATCTTCTATAAAGTAATAAACAATGTACCTTTCGAAAGCTTTTAAACATAATTACTTTTTATTATCAAAAAGTTTTTTAACTTTTTAGAAAGGGTATATTTATTTGTTTGACAAATGACGCCAGGCAGCCAAATTTAAATACTACTATTAAATAAAGAGGAGAGCTGAGTTAGTTCAATTTCTGCTGGATTAGCCTTGAAGTCACTCGGTGAATACTTTCAACGTCATCCCATTTAAAACGTACATCGATACATCCTTTTTTTAAATTACGGTGTTTAACATTTTTTATTTTTAAAATTAAAATTATTTCAGTTATTCAAAAGATCATTTTGATCCAGAGAGATAATTAAACATATCTGAAAATTGTAGGGGTAAATAAATAGGTAAATAAGTAGTAGAATAGGTAGGTAATACATTTAAATACTATAGCCATATTATCTAAACATATTTTTTTAATTAAGAAATATGAAGAAATTTTAAATGTTGAGGTATAAAGTCGAAATTTATATAAGAGTGTACAAAAAGTAACGTAACATACTAATATTTAGAATTCCTGATAAGTTTACAAAAAAGTTTTGAATACAATTTTATAAAATAAATCAAGTTCGTACACTCTGTGTATAAATTTGAACTTATACCTTAACATTTCAAATTTCTCAATATTTCTTAATTAAAAAAATATTGTTAGATAACATGGCCATAGTATTTAAATTTATTACATACTACTTACCTATTTATTTACTTTTATAATTTTCAGATGTGTTTAATTATCTGTCTGAATTAAAATGATATTTTGAATATTTGAAATATCTTTTATTTTAGAAATAAAAAAAGTTAAACGTCATAATTTAACAAAAGGGGCGTATCGATGTACGTATTAAATGGGATGATGCTGAAAGTATCCCCGAGTGTCGTCACGATTAACCCAGCAGAAATTGAACTAATTCAGCTATCCTCTTTATTTGATAGTAGTCTTTTAATTTGGCTGGCGTCATTTGTCAAAAAAAGTTTAAAAACTTTTGGATAACAAAAAGTACCTAATTATTAATTATGTTTAAAATTTTCGTAGAGTACATTGTTTATTACTTTATAGTTTACGGAATGTTAATATTTGATTATTATGAACTACAACAATAATTAATCAAAGTAGCTAGTACCTTTTAAAGTTTTTGGAAATGTTATGTAAGACATAAGGTACTTTTTTATATATCTCTTCTTCGTTGATTTTAATTGGACACTTGGCAATAGGGGACGTCCGCCAACAGTGGCCATACCAAGTACAGTGGCCACTCGTTGATATTATTGCAATGTGAAGTCTAGTAGTAGCGCCCCCTCATATGTTTTGAATATTTCAACCGGATTTTCACTATTTTCAGTATATCACCATTCGCGGCGCGCTTAGTTTATGCGTATTTCTAACGTAAAAAGTTACATATTTCGCTGGTTTTTTCGGTGTATATATCCGTTATTGGCAAGTACACTACTGTTATTTGTATTCCCCATATTTATCTGGACTTAGATAAAGCCTATGATGACGCTATAGTGCAAAAATTCCTATCAATTTTTTTGTGGTTAGGCAAAGTATATTTTCTTCTCTCTCTGCTACAGTGGCCACAAACTGATTCTCAACAGTGGCCACTGCTTTTAAAGAATAGAAGTAGTGGCCACTGTTCCCGATATGTTTTTTTTTATTTCAGAAAGAAAAAATGCCACGGCCGAAGTACGATAAGACCTGGTTTAATTGGATAAATCCCTCCAGAGACCATGAGAAATGCTCTTTGTAGTATAAAGGAACATGGTCTTTCTGTAAAAGCAGCCGCAATTCATCACGATATTCCAAGAACTACCCTTGGGAGATATAAAAAAATTTGAAAACGTTGAAGACATAGTAAATGTTACTACTGGATTGTCGCCCAATTATAATGTAAACCGAATATTTTCTATTGCGGAAGAAACAGAGCTTTGTCAATACCTCCAAATGTGTGCCAAATTGAATCATGGACTCACTCCAAAAGATGTCAGAAAGTTTGCATTTTCATTGGCAGCAGAATATGGCAAGCGAATTCCTCCCTCTTGGTTCAAAAATGAAATGGCAGGAAAATATTGGATGACCAATTATCTCTATTCGAACAGCTGAAGCTACATCCTTGGGTCGTGCTATGGGTTGCTATGAAAGGCCCACGACAAGTTGGTCAAATAACGTCCAGTGAAAGAGGGACTTTGGTTTATTTATTGTTTCGGCCTTTACTTGATGAAAATCCATTTAATCTTGAAAGAGTAAAACCAAATTTGGTAGATTTTCACACTTTTATTTTAAAAATATAAAAAATTTTAAAAACACTAACATGACATATGTTTCGAAGTACAACTTCTTTTTCAAATGTGACTAATTTACAAATCGGTATCCAATATATATACGAAATAATTTAACAAAACAACGTCAATAACATTACTAAATAAACTAACTATTTAAAGTAAATAAGGGTACTTAGGTAATTATAATATCAATCAGATAACAATAAGATAGCCCATTACCGGGATTATCTCACAGAAAACTAGGAAAGAGATTTAATAAGGGTGAATTATTAATATCTAATTGATCATTTAGTAAGTCATCTGAATTTTTAAATCTATTTATTTCAAGTGTTTCTAAATGATTTAATTTAAGGCTCTTATTTTCTATATGTAAAATTTCAAAGTTGTCTGTAAAAGAATGATTTTCAGCTAAAATATGATTTGAGTAAGTAGAATTATTTTTGTTTTTTGTATAGCTATTATAATGTTCGGAATAGCGTTTTTTGAAAGTACGGCCTGTTTGACCAATATACAATTTTGGACAATATACAATTTTATTTAATTAATTTAATTAATTTATTAATTGCTATTAATAATATAGATTATATTGACAAAACTCTTTCATTTTTACAAGCAAGCAATAATTATAGCATACTCAAATTTGATCCAACAGAAAAATATCAAAAAGAACTAAAACGTAATATTCAGGATTCAACAGCAATTTTTGATTCTAGAGAAAAATTCAAACTAATACAAATGAACCCTCAACCACCACAACTTTATTCTTTAATAAAATTACACAAAGAGAACTATCCTATTAGACCAGTTGTGTCATTTGTCACGGCTCCATCAGTTAAACTTTCACATACATTAATTAAACTTATACAAGAAAACTGCAAATTCAATTCAAAGTATAGTATAAAAAATTCTTATGAATTAACAGAAAAATAAAAAAACATTAAATTACCTAGTAACACAAAATTAGTATCGTTCGATGTAACAAACTTATTTCCTAGTATACCTCCTAAAGAAACAGTTAAGCTAGTAGAAAACTTATTAGATCGTAATCAAGTCAATATTATAATCAAAGAAGAAATCCTAAATTTGTTAAACATTTGCCAAAAACAAAATTATTTTCAATTTCAAAATAACATCTACTCAGCAAATGAAGGTCTTATTATGGGGAACCCATTAAGCCCGTTGCTTGCAGAAATATTTATGGATAATATAGAAAATAAAATTCATAGCAATAATTTAAGTAAACATTGTCTGTATTGGCATAGATATATTGACGATATATTGACTGCTTTTACTGGTACTAGTAGACAGTTAAATTCTTTATTAGTTTTTATCAATACTATACACCCTAATATTAAATTTGCTATAGAAACAGAGAAGGATAATTAAATTAATTTTTTAGACTTAAATATTATTAAAAATAATAAAGGCCATAGTTTTGGGATATTTCATAAGCCATCACATACTGATATTACAATAAAT